GCAGAACTATTTTGTATAGAATATGTAGAAATGGGATATAAATATGGCTCATTGGTTTATAACATATTGACCTTTTATTTGACTATCAGGTGAAAATTTGAGCAGTTTCCTTATAAAGCTAGAAAATGCATTCAAGACAACAAAAACATACAAATGTAGATCAGCCATGGAATGCAGAATTAGATATTATAAAGAGTCACCCATTTAGAAAGCCAAGGACTTAACTAATTTACATTAGACATGGATTAATAAGATCCATCCTTCTTTTGGCTGTGAAAGTAGTCAGTAGTTACTGGGAAGCTTTGCCAGTTTGGTCCTCTAGAAAGCAGACACTGTAAAAGTGAGGGAGATTTTTATGGGAAAACACCCACAAGAGACCCAGAGTGGGGGAGGCAAGAAGAACCTTTGGACTGCAGTGGAGATCTGACACCTGTGAGCAGAAGAGAGGAGGATGGGCAGGAAGAGCCTCACACTTCAGTTAAGCTGAAGTCTTACCTTGGTTAGGCTGATGGGGAGCCCAGAACAAAGTCACCCTGTTAGAGGGAATCATACTGGGAGGAAAGAGGCCTTTACTGGTTTGCCAGCTATGCTCAGGTCTTGACCCTGAGCAGTCTGGTTAGAGCATAAGTGTAGCTTGGATATTATAGTACATCTGGAATAGGAAAACATCAGCTAACTGCACTCTTCAAAGCAGGTGGATTTAAGTGGCATATCTCCATGGTTGCCACAGAGTCTGTGTGTGATTCAATTTAATTTGACAAACATTTATTGGTTGCCAGTTTTGTACAAGAACTATGCTCAGCACTATTGGGGACTTTGAGAGTTCATTTATTTATTTGCTCACTAAACATGCATTCAACAGATATTTTTTGAGGGATTATCATGTCCCAAGCACTACTCCAGGTATAGAATGCACATCTTAATTCCATTTAGAGACTACTTTTGAAATACATATCTCACTTCTTCTGTTCCAGGATGGAGGCTTTTACTGGTTGTGTATTAGTATGTCGTAAAACTTTAAGATTAGAATGTCATACACACAAAGTTTCCCACATGCTTTCCTTTTTTTGTGTTCTTGGAAATAAAAGAATATTATTTGCCTTCACATTTTCTTTAATGGGCATAAAATATAGAGATCAAAGGTATAGGAATTAATTAATCCTGAAAAGGGACCTCACCAGGTGAAAATGGAAATAGTTAATCTTATTTAACGTCATGTTGTGGTAAATCCACACTTGCATAATTTAGCTCTCTGCCAAGAATGCAGTTGCTTTAAACAGTCTATAAGGAATATATGTGAAGTATGAAAATATTGCAGAGCTGGTGGGCTGTGAAGAATGCCAAATTTGCTGAAAAGCTTAGTCTCTGATGTGATATCTAGGCACAAACTAAGATTGGAGGATGAAGAGAAATCAGTAGTTAATGAAGGTGGTACATTATTTGCATTTATTTTAGCATTCTAAGAAATCCTTGTTTATCAACCATTTTTTCTCTACATGGTAATTTCTTTTTAATACCTACTCTTGTTGCTTCTGCCTGCATTTTGATGTTGGCATTTCCCATCTGTTTTTCATTTGGTCTGACATAGATGCTGTTCAGAGCTGTTCGTTTTGCACCAGCAAAGATGCCTTTACCCTATAGCCACGGCTGCTGCATGCATCATTAGTATAGCATGTAGTGATTTTAAGGTTATTTCTAAACCGCCATCACCTCATGCCATTACTTTAATTTAGGACCAACTGTTCAGCCATATGGAGCAGTTTGTCATTCAATATCTGTATGTTCTTGCAAAAATGAATTTGTCTGTGTGTTTTATGCCTTTAAATATCCTACATTTCATATGGAAAAGACAAATCTTTTCATTTTATTAATGTTGTCATTGACTAACTATTCCGTTTATTTTTCCCATGGAGAGTTTAATGTTGAATTGGGATACTTTTCAAAGTCATTATGTAAGGATATGGATACCTGTATTCTATAAGTTAGCCTCACTTGAGTCCACAGGTAAACACAAGGGCACCTTACTGACCATTTATTTTTGTTCACAAATTATTCATTTTTCCACACATTTTTTTCTAACTCAAAAGCCCCAGGAATCTGAAAAAGTATGACTAATAGAACTGACACTAATTTACCTCATCCCAGTCTGACTTCTGTCATGTCTGTTCTCTGCCTTCTTGAAATTATTCAGAGGATGTTTTGCTAAAGATCCAGTCATTGTCTCCCTATCTGCATAGCCTTTTAGACTATAGCAAACTAGTCTAAACCTCATGACCAGGCAGGAGGGGGCGCTTGACCAGCCACACAGTGATTCCACCACTCTCCCAGATATCATTTGTCTAGAGGTCAGTCTAAATCTAACAAGAGACAGTTGGGTCCTCTGCTAGGCTTATGTCGTTGGCATCAGAGAAAACCAGTTGAGGCAATGTTAGGAAGTGGCTAAAGCACAGGTCTGGATATACAGCTGTCCATTTACCAACTTTGCATAATCTTGCACTAGTTACATGAAGTACATCTGAAAAGAAATACCCCCTCATCTCAAATGCTTTAACATTTTAAAGGTGAACAATTATTTTATAATCTAATGTGAAAACCGATTAACATAATGTCGAATTCCCAGTATTAATAACAATTTTCAGTGTCAGTTGTTTTATGTAATTCATATTTATTCTTCAGATTTTATGGGAATCTATAAACTTTTTTATTTCCTCCTTGAATTATGACATTTTACCTATTACTGTTCACTAATATATTGACAGAAAGTTGAAAAAAAACTAAAAAAATACATAATCTAAATTTATCTCTTACTGTCAGCATTGATTCTTGCCTCATGCCAATCATGAGTATGCTTTCTACATTACAAAATATAGTTAAACTAGTAGCCTAAACAAAAATTGTAAAAAGCAAAAGGCATAAATTAATGCCTGATATGCTTATTTTCTTGATATTATTGTGAATAATTCATAGTAAAGTTTAAAAATCTTCCTCTTTATAATTAAGCACCCATTAGCTGCAGTAATGAACTTTTGCAGGACAACGATTTTCAGGATCACAGATTGCATCATCTGTGCTCATTCTAGTCTCCGTACTGACACACCCTTGACCTACTGTGCACTCCGCGTTTCTGCTCCCATCACACAGTAAGGGAGGCTGGAACCAAAAGGGAAGCACTGAAGCTTTATTCTTGTAAACAACAAAGTCATTTTGGAATTTTTTTTTTAATCTGGTAGATTTCTAAACAAACCTTGGCTAGAGTATAACTAATGCCAGTTCTTTAGCATTGATGTTTTAAAGAGAAACAAATTATTTTTTCATCTGTTTTCAATACTTCATGTATGTTCATGTTGAGAGAAATTATATCTTCCCATAAGCTTTTATGTTTGAGAGTCCTTTTTTCTGTTTTCATTTTTCATTCTCATTTTTATAGATAGTTCTCATAATTAGATGTAAAGTAAATATTCTATTTTGATGAACAAAAATTAAAATAACTGTATTTGTTGATATATGATTTTTTTCAAGAATTTTGTTGAAAATACCTGCATTACATAAGAATCAAATACATGTGATTGAGATGAAGAAGGTTTTCCCTTAAAGCTTTTTGCACATTTTCCAGGACCTTACTGATTTCAGTTGTCCAGATCACTTACAGTCCTCATTTTATAATAGTTTTTTCTTATTGGTCTGTGTGTGGCCTACTTACTTAGTGCTTTTAAATGTTATATTACCTGTGAACCCAACACTTAAAGCTAAAATCTTGATAATAGCCTAATGGTTCCTTCCATTCCAGGTCTTTGGTCTCAGAGAACTATTTCTTAGAATTCATTTCTTTCGAATTCAGTATTTATCAGTCCTTGAGTTTCTTTCTTTATACTTTTCAGTTGTATCTATTTTCTCCAAAATATTCTTATAATTTAGTCATCTTCTATTAAAGAGCATCATCATACTGTATGTAATTTCTTATATGTATTTTTTAGCTTATCATATATTACCAAGAATCTCAGCATTAGATGTCATCTTTTGTTCATTCTGACTACTGTGTAATTGAAGGGAGCGATTATGCCACTGTTTATCCAACTTCTGTTCTTGTAGAGTTAGGTTGTTTCTAGGTGCTAACAATTGTGAATAGCTTTATGAACAGTCTTGTACATGCTTTCTGTTGTTACTATGGAGAAATTCTCTCAGGACTAAAGTTGTTGGGATGTATGATATATGAATTTTCAAATTCAGCAGATAATGTCAAATAGTTTTCCAGAGTGAGTGTACCAATTTGTAATCACAACAACATCTAAGAGACCCTGTAGAACAATATCCTCTCTAATGCTTGGTATTATACTTTCAATTTTTGTCATTTAGATGAGTGTGAAATGATATCTTACATATAGTCTTAATTTTTCTTTGTTTATTGGGCATATTTATTCTCTTTTGTGAAATGCCTTTTTGCCTGTTTTTCCCCTGAAATGTTTATATCAGTAATATGCTAGAGATTCTTTATGTATCCCTGATGTTAATCTTTGGTTGGTTGTACATGTTTTGAATGTATTTTCCCTGTTTGTAAGGTGGTGTTGAATTTCTTTAAGATATTTTTAATGAACAGAAGTTCTTAATTTTAACATAATCAAAATCTATTAATCTTTTATAGTGTATACTTTTTGTGACTTCAGTAATCTTTTGTCCATACTTTCTATTAACAAATTTAATGGTTTATTATTTTAGCACTTAAGATATTAATCCCACTAGAATTTACTTTTATTAATTGAATGAAATAAGAATTAAACTTCCATTTTTTCGTAAAGACTAATTTTTTAATCTCCAGTTTTGAACATTCTGTTCTTCAGTGGTATCACTTGTCACCTTTGTCATATACCAAAGTTTCATAAGTGCATGGCTCTGTTTCCAGACATTTTATTCTATGCTGTTGTTCAGTCTCTGTGTATATGGGGGTGTGTGCACATGTGTGTATATTCATACCTAGATTTTAAGTATTTTGGTTTTTCTACCAGGTTTTGGACATAGTAAAAACAAGTATCCGTTCAGTTCTTCCACGTATCTGGAAGGTACCTGATGTTGAAGAAGTAAACTTATATCGGATTTTCAACCGGGTTTTTAATCGCTTACTCTGGAGTCATGGCCAAGGACTATGGAATTGTTTCTGTGATTCAGGGTAGGTTCTATGTCATCTTTTATTATTGTAATTTTAAATATTTTACTATTTAGCTGTGTAGGTGACCCAATAAATGATGTAATTTCTTTAATAATGTTTTAAAATGTGCATTTTACTGCATGTAATTGTTAGTACTCAACTCTAATTTATATCAATTAAGCTGATTTAGATAAGATGATTAATATGAGCACAACACCTTGTAACTAATTTGAATTCAGTGGAGAGAAAGTATTCTTAATTAATGAGAAAATTTCAATTATAAACCAATATCTTGCAGGTTATATGACTGTTTCCTTTATGTAGCAGACTTTTTAAATCATAGCTGGATTCTTCTTCTTCTCCAAAGTTCCGTGCTGCCAAAGCTGCTGTGAGACATTGTCATTCTGTCCCCAAGATGTCTAAAACTAAACATTCTAATGTCCTTTTATTCAGAAATGGCTTCTCTTCTTATCTTTCCTTAATCCTAGTGTTGCTCTTCCGGTCATACCGGCTTGGAATATTTCTGAGGCATTTGCATCTTTCTCCTCAGTACTGTCTTTATTTAATAATTTACTAAGTCCTATTAGTTTGGGGGTCACATGCCCACTGTGGCTACTCTAAACTGTTTTTCATTCATTCTTTTCATAATTACCAAATATTTATTATTGTGTTAGATATTTTTGGAAATACAAAGTTGAATCTGATATAGCTTCTGGCCTCTGCAGAAACTTAGAAGTGATACTGGTTAAATGTATTACTTAATACTTTGTGCCAGGCATTGTTTACCACTATACATGTATGAGGTGATTTAATCCTCATAACATCACTGTGAGTCAGGTTGTATACCATCTCCCTCTTATGGATAAGGAATCTAGCATACAGGTACGCACTAAGGACCTGGAGGAACTGGGATTTGAATGCAGTTAACTTTGATCCCAAAGTTCATGCTCTTAACCAATATGTTCTGATGTCTTTAATGGACAAAATGTGATATCCACAGAAGTAATCATTTTAAAAAGAGGAACAGAGAAAGTATGATAGAATTTCAGGCAAGAGAAGAGCTTGGTAGAAGGGCTAAGTGAAATGAAAAGATTTCTAGGCATTTCTGCCTCCCTTATGTATCTTACTGTTAGGGTCATTTCCTAAACTCCCTTATTTATCATCACAATCTAAATTTATTTATTTCAATTAACTCATTTGAATCTTGCACCTTGAGAAAACTTGTCATTCACTGATAAGATGCTGTCCTTTGGGGATCATGTTTCTCCCGAAAAAGTAAACAACAATGCTTCTAGTAAAAATACCTTCCTGAGTGTCGAGAGCATTTTATAAAATTCAGATATATCAAATATCCACAAATGTTTGAAAGTGGAGCCTTTGAATTTCCTATTGGAAAATATTTTTTTTAGGAAAATATTTTCCTTTATATTTTTTCTTTCTGAAAATCTGCTCTTTTCTCTCTGAGGATTACGTGAATTGGTTTATGTAAAATGAGACTTGAGCCAAGCCCGAAACTACTTTCCCCTCAGAGCTTGAAAAGAATTTCATTTACACTAAGCAATAAGTCTCATTCACATTCATTCTCGTTCTCATTCTGTCTGTCTCTGTATGACTCTGTCTGTGTCTCTCTCTCTCCCACTCTCTCTCTCTCCCTTGCTCCCCTCCTCCTTCACCCTCTCCTACTGCCCCCCTTCTTCTCACGCCCTAAAATGGTGAGGTGCTTCCTCATTTCAGCCATGATGGTAAACTTAGGAACTGTTAATACATAGATACACAGGCATGCAATTCAGGTTTATGGAGGAAGTATGTGCTACTACCTTCTCTAGAATAACTAAGGACACTTAGGAAGGAAGGACACTGACTTTGGGATTGCAGTAGGTCAGTACTTACTGAGAGGACATGACTTGTAGAGGACAAAGCCAGTGCTCAGGAATATCATGCACACAATTACATCTGAGAGTGTTTTGAAAGGGATGGTCATAATCAAGGGATTTACCCAAATTCTCCTAGTGCAAAGAGGTCACAAACTAAACTGCAGTACATTATTTGTGTTCAGGTAAAATCATTTGCATGTATTACATACTTTTAAATCATCCACAGTGACTACAGATAGGTGAGACCATTTCCATCTTCATCAGTTTGTTGCTAGGTAAGTGATACAGCTGGTTGGCATTTTTAACAGCAAACATGAAGTCCTGTCTGTTTCCATGCCAACAGATCCTCGTGGGAGAGCATATTCAGTAAAACCCCGGAGGTGGTGACTCCTTTGCAGCTCCAGTGTTGCCAGCGCCTGGTTGAGCTTTGTAAACAGTGCCTGCTAGTGGTGTACAAATATGCAACTGACTCCAGAGGATCCCTCTTGGGCCCTGGTCCTGACTGGGGTAACTCCAGGTACTTTTTACATTCTCTAGCCTCTGAGAACTTGATATAAAGTAATGCCACGGCACAATTTGAAATTGAGTGTCTCTGTTTACTTATCTAGCTAGGGGAAATCTAAAGACTGAAAATACATACATGTTATGATGTACAAAATATTTTCCATTTGCACAATCTTTACCTTTAAGGAACTGAATGAGGACAGCAGTCACAAACCTGAAGGTGACAAAAATATTGTACATGGAAATGAGCTTATTTGGTTTATATGCTTTTACTTTCAAAAATTCAATAAGCACATCCAACGATGTGGTAATAAATTTAGCTTTTGTTCCCCAATAGGGATATTTCAGCATTTATCCTTGAGCCTACTACAACTGGGAGGATGCCTTTGCTTTAATTTTATTGTGCAGTGAGCCTCTGCAACTTCCTCATCACCAAACCGATCTGGAAGAGGTGAAGATTTTGTCAAATTCTCTTTCAAAATTGAGTTTCATGAATGTTATCCATTTAAAGTAGGTAGTTTTCCAAAAGTCTGAGAAACAATACTGCTTTTAAGCTGCAAAAATATGCAGAGTAAATAAGTACATTTTCACTTCTTCAAAACAATCCTGTTTCCTGTTAGAAACAAAGATGAATAAGTAACTTTTGTTTTATCAGGTATAAATTATATTACTCAAGATAGAAGAAAGTAGACCCCTGACTCTGAAAAGCTAGATGATAGTCAGAAAAAAGTAAATAATTGTATAAGCAGTAAGGAAAATGGAAACAGTAAAGCTTGGATTCTCTTTTTGAAACAGCTAAAAATGTATTTATTTAAAAAATCCCAAGGAAGGTAATAAAGTCATTTCCTACAGAAGTGACCTACAACAGCAAAATGGCGCAGACTATTTTTCACCAGAAGTAGCTAGAGAGATAATTTAAATTTTTGTCTTAGATTCTGTTATTGTACCTTTGTAGGACCTTTAACCTGTTTTAACTCTTCTGCAAATAGCAACTGATTGATCACAACCATGGTATAGGTAAAGTTAACCATTAATATTTAAATTTATAAATATCAAAGTTACATAGTTTTATTGATTTGACTGAAGCGAATTATTGAATGAAACTATCATTAATAGTGTCATGTGATTTAAAAGAATGATGGAAGTTTTTAGACATTACAGTCTATAAATGAAGAGCTTTCTCTTTAAGGATAATACTCTGGGAGCATGATCAGGAAAATGATAAATCCTAGTCTAGCAAATAATTCATTCAGGCTCTTTAATGTCATTCTTGCAATTCCAGATTGCATAGCACAGTTTCTGTTGATGGATGTAGGTTTTGTGGGTAAGCACCCAGAAGGAGCCTTCCTGGTTACTTTGGAGGAAGAAGTTATGCCTTCCAGTTGCTTCAGGCCTTTTTATTGTCTTTCCTCCTGGTGTTCAGGAGAAATATTCCAGACCCTGGTGGTCAGAAGAGATACTCCTGAAGCTAGAATCTTAAGAGTTCTGGAATTCTGATAAGTGCTCAGGATGACCTTAGTATTGTGAGTATAAACATTTGAAGTGTCAATAAGTACATCTGAATTCCTGCTCAAGTTCAGAACCCTTTGAAAGAAAAATGCAGGATCAGAAAGATCTCACAAAATGTAGTTTTCTTACTGATGAAAGTTACACTGGGGACATGGTATAGGTGTTAGCCCGATGAGTTTTGAATTTGAATTCCAAATTAAATGTATCCACTCCAAGGCAGAGCTGGACCAACCGAAACTTTCCACTACCATTATTCTATAAAGTCTAATTCCTTTAGTGATGGCAGGAAGGTAAGTGACGATGCAGCCTTTCTGTAGAAGCACTGAGCCACAAAGAAAGAAAAGCGGAGCCAAACATTCTGTTTCTGTCTTTTATAACACAGAAATCAGATAATTCAGTTCTGGGAAGAGGCCAGGAAGTTTGTACTAGTAGCGATTCTTTTACATGGAAATGAGTGGGAAATACACATTTCTACCTAATAACTAGGTATAATACTTTGGTCAGTGTCATACTAATTTAAGGGCATAATGTTTTTTCTCTCATAGATACATAAGGAAACCTATGGCATTTTATTCTATATGTAGAAGGTATTTAGTATTTATTAGTAAATTAATTTATTTATGAAGTATGCCTGATAAAATATACATATAAATTTATATTTGTGTATAAATATTAATTATGAATAAATAATACATACATATAAATGTACTCAACATACTTATGAGGTATACCTAAAAATTTACGTGGGGAAATATCTTTGCCAATTTAATCTATAAAATTAAATGAGGAAAAAATAGAGTTAACATCAGTCAGATATATGAGCCATGTTTGTCCTGACCAGGGATCTGAGGGATGAAGATGATTTAAAGAGTACCTGGCATTTATTACATGGAAAAGTGTGGTCTTCAACCTTGTAATCTTAGGAAAAAAATAATTTAATAAGTACACATAAAAAGCTATTTCTCAGAGATGGGCTCATGATAACTAAGTAAACATAACTGATATATAAACCTACATGGTCAGTTGGAAACATACCTATCTGTCTATCAAACATATATGTATATGTATAATCTCCAGGATACTAGAGTTTGGGGACCAGCTCAGTATTCCATTGTAGCTAGGCTTACGTGGGAAGGCCTGTAATCTCCCAACTACTTTTTGACCTGGTTTATGCAGTTTCACTTGCCAGTTCTATCAAATATACCAGAGAATGGAAAAAGAGGGGAACTATTTTTCCTTGTTTTGTGAGACGACCATGTCTTTGATACCAAAACTTAACCAGGAAATTATTGGCAAAGGAAAATTAATGTTCATTCTCACCCTTAAACAGAAGAAAAAAAAAATCCTAAACCAAATATTAGCAAGCTGAACCCAGAGTTTAAATAAATAATATATCATAACCAACTTCTGCTTATTGCATTAAGGATGCAATAACATTAAAAAGTGATCAGTGTAATTTGCTACATTAATAGAATAAAAGGTCATTTTGAAAGATACAAATAAATCACTTGATAGAATTCAGCATACATTTAAGCTTTAAAAACTGCTTAGCTAGCTTGAAAAAAATTTCACACTCTAATAAAGGATAACTATAAAAATATTACAAGAAACATACCTAAATATTGAATTCTTTTAGCATGAAAAAGAAGACAGATGAGGAACAAGGCAACATTCCCTGTTACCACTTCCATTTAGCATTGTGCTGGAAGTTTTGCTGATTCAAAGAGGAAAATAAAAGAAATAGAAGGCTTTAGGTTTGAAATACAGGACTAAAACTCATTGCCAGTGAACATTATTGTGGTCATACAAATCTAAATAAATCTATAGATTAAATAAATTTAACAATTTTGATGATATCAAAATCAATATAAGAAAATAAATTTCATTTCTGTATAGAAAAATAAACAGCTAGAATATGAAAATTTCAAATTTGACCAACTCTTGTTTTAGCATTTGTAATACAAAAAAGCAGGGAAACAATAGGTAAGATAATCTTGAAACAGAACCATAAAATGGTAGGATTTACTGACTATTGTGTACTATGACTTTTAAGAAAGATAAAGATAGTTAATGTAAAATTGGCAAAAGGATAAACAAATGGACTAATGGAACTATTTTGAAAGGCAATAATCCAACACAGGCCTGTCTGCCAACTAGATCTGTGGCAAAAGAAGGTCCAGTTTGTTTGTTTTTAATGAAAAAATGGTCAAAAGTTTGTTCAAACAAATGGTGCTAGAACAATTGGGCTTCTAAATACTGAGAGTTAAAGAAAACTTGATTTTTTCCATTCCATAAACAAAAACCATTTCCTGATGAACTGAATAAATAGACATGAAAAATAAATATTTCAGAATATAGGAGAATATTTTCATGATTTAAAAGATGCAGTAGTTATTAAAGTGCTAGCCATAAATGAAATGATGGATACATTTGGTTATATTAAAATTAAGAACATATGTCCCATAGCATACCCTATTAAGAGATGAAAAAGCAAGCCAAAGGATGGAGGAAGATATTTGCAACCCATATAATATAAAAAATTGCACATATTATATAAGTATGCCTACAAATTTCTACCAAAAACCCAGACCACTAATAAAAAAAATTTGAAAAACAGATCAGCAAACATTTAAAGAGTATCTAAACTAATTGTAATAATCAAAGAAATACAAAATTACAAAAACAGTGCATATCCAGCCCTGTATACCAGGAGTTGATGAGAATGTAGAAAAGTGGGAACTCTTACATAGCTTGTGCCAGTGAAAACTGGGACCTTTTACAAACATTCCAGCACTACATACTTAAGTATACCTTTCCGTGGCTATTCTGCGCCCTGTAAGTTCTTAGCAATGTGTGGGTATGAACATCAGTATTCTTATTAGAATGAGCATAGTAGAATTTAGTCATAATTCCTAAATTTAAAAGCAGTTATTCACAGAAGAATGGAAACATTCTCTCTAATGTCCATACAGTGGAGTATTATATAACATTGATAGTGAACAAACGTACCTACATGTACCAACATAGATACCTCTCAAGCATACAGTTGAGCTAAAGAAGTGAGAGAGTAAGAATATATAATTTGTCCATTTACTTAAATAGCCAGAATTAAATTTTGATGCATACTTGGGTTGTAAATAAGGAAGTGAAGATCAGGATAAGTGGTCAAATTCATGAGGAGGGAGGGTGCTGTAATATAGGGCTCAAAAATGCTATTCAGTTACTTAATCTTGGTCATGGTTATACAAGTGGTCACTTTATAATAGTCATTAAATTTATGATTATTGATAGTTATGATACTTATGTGTACTTTACAATTTAAAAAGTTTAAAAACTGAGGAGATAAATACACATGGTACCATTATGGCCTTTTGCAAAGATAATCTAATGCATCTATCTCAGAATAGGGATGCACTTGCTAGTGATGCTGATATTCATAATATAGAATTATAAATACTATTTCATTCATGTACACTATTTCATTGGCTCCATACTGTACAAGGTGGCCATAGAAGCAAATAGTTAACATTCTGCACAGCTGAGAAAACTGAGGTATAATGAGGATATGTGGTTTATCCAAGTCCACACTGGTAGCATGCAACAGAGGTGGAACTTGAAACCAGGGCTTACTCTGTTTCCCCAAAATCAAAGTCAAAAATCACGAAATAGAATATATCCACTAGGATGGTTATGATAAAAAATATTGTAAGATAATAAATGTCAGCAAGGATATAAAGTTGGACCTTGTGTGTATTGCTAGGGAGAATGTAATGGTGTGGCAACTATAGTAAGTTGTTTGACTGCTTCTCAAAAAGTTAAATATAGGTTTACCATGTCACCTAGGAGTTACACTGCTGGTACATATCCAAGGGAATTGAAAACAAAGACTCAGCACACCATTGTTCACAGCAGCAGTTTTGACTGCAGCCAGAATGTGGAAAC